CCTTGGACTTAGCTGCCCCATGTGTGGCCTTCGTGTTGTCGAGCTCCAGCCGGGAGCATGACTAACATTGGGCTCAGCACTGGGCTGTTCTCCTGGGAGGCCTCCTCGCAGCCTGCCGTGCAGGTCAGCCAGCCCACAGGCCACCTACTGATGGCTCTCCATTGGCCCCTTCCCATGTCATGGGCAGCTTTGCTTCCTGGTCTCCTTCCTGTGACCTCCCAACTCCCCTCTCCCTGCCCTGTTCAGATCCTGTCTTTGAAAACTGCCTCCCTCCTCTCTCTGGCCGGCACCTTCACGTCTGTCCTCCTCTGGCTCTATTTGTCTGTCCTCCTCTGGCTCTATTCTCATGCTCACAAGCAAGAAGCGGAGAGGAGAGGGCAGGGCAGGGCAGGGCAGCTCTTCCTCCCAAGTGCAAGTACGCCCTGGGGGCTTGGAGGCGGACCCTCCAGAGGCATGCACAAAGTCCAGTGCTTCTTTGAAGTCTGTTTTATCTTAAAAGTAGATGTGAATCTTATATTCTATCCTAGGATTCATATTTATTCAAAATCACATTTGAGTTAATATAATACAAAAATATTTTAAATGATTTTGTTTTTGCACTGAATGTAGGAATAAAACTGATCCTCTAGAACAGGGATCAGCAAACCTCTTCTGTAAAGGGCCAGACAGTAAATATTTCAGGCTTTGCTGGCCATATGGTCTCTGTGACAACCACTGTGGTAGCACAAAAGCAGCCGCAGACAATACATAAAGAAATAAAGTATAGCAGTGTCCTAATAAAACTTGATGGACACTGAAAACTGAATTCGGTATAATTTTCGTGTTCTTACTATCTTCTCTTCTTCAGGTTTTTTCCATTATTTTTAAGTGTAAAGTCTCTTCTTAGCTTGTGGGCTGTAGTTTGCCAAGTCCGCTCTGGACATTCATGTGTCTACCCTGCGGCTTCATGTATAAAGCCAAGGCTAGAGCAAGAATACTAGATTTTGGAATCAGATCCATCTCTAAATTCTTATTCTCCCACTCACTAGCTGTGCCCCTGAAGACAGGTGGCACCTACCTGAGACTGGCCACCTGCACTATGGCAGGCAGGGAGGCATCAGTGAGGCAGTGCTGCGGCAGCCTTCAGTGGTGCACGTGGCTGAGCTGCTCTGGGTGGGACAAAGGTCATTGCCAGGGTAAGGGTGGGCGAGATGTGCCACCGCCCCTTCCTGGACAGCTCTCCCTCTCCTGTCCTCCCAGGCAACTTCTAGCTGAGTAGATACCCACCCCCCTGCCATCCCTCTTCCTGCCTTCCATGACTGGAAGCTGCTTCTCACATGGACCTTTGGCCCTGGGCTGGTGAGTCCAAGCACCCACACACCAAAGATGTCCTTAGACTAAGCCCCAGCTCAGAGGCCTCCCAACGCCAGCACAGCAGGGATGGGAAGTAAATACTTTCTTCCCTGGGTCACTGCCTCTCCTCTGGCCTCAGGCCTGGCATCTATAGCCCACGGGCAGCATGGACCAGAACAGTCCCTCTTCCCTTGCTCACCATTTGTTTAATGCTATTTTATGAAGTTGCACTGCAGAGGGACAGCCTGCTCCACACCTCAGACTAAAGGTGCCCATGCTGGCTCCCCTATTGGTCAGTTTATGGCTCTGCAATCAGTCCTTCTGGATCCACAAAGCCCACATCTGCCATTTACCAACTGGATGACTGGGTAAGTTATTTAGCCTTTCTGTGCCTCAGTTCTCTCACAGATAAGGGATAACCTCGTACAGTTACTGTGGAGATTGAGAACATGTCCATAGCACTCAGAACAACGCACCCACAGGAAGTGCCTGTGCTGTCACCTCTGAGTAAGGCTACCAGATAGAAGACAGGGTGCCTGGTTACATTCAAATTCCCGAAAAGTAACAAAATTTTTTTTGGTGTAAGGATGTACCAAATGTTGCATGGGGTATACTCATACTAAAAACATGTTTATCTGGAATTCACATTTAACTGGGTGTCTTTCTCTCCCCTAAATCTCACAACCCTATGCCAAGGGAGGCTTCACAAGTCCAGGAGCCTCCCTGTTCCCCAGCTCTGCAATAGCCTCCTCATCCCAAGTCTACCCAGAACTATGGGCTCACGTGGAAAGGAACCTTCTTTCCCATCTGCAGGGCCTTGGGCTCAGAGTCAGGCCAGAATGTGTTTCCTGCAGTGCTTTGAGTCCAATCCCAGATCCACTCTGCACCTGCCTTGGGACTTGATGTAAGCTCCTCCTTGCCCCTTCCTTATCCTTATTTCCCTCTTTCCAGTGGGACTGGTAATCCTCACTCACTGGCTATTCAAAGGAGTCAAGGTATATGACTTGCAATAGAACAAGATCATTTCGGGCCGGCCTGGTGGCGCACTGGAGAGTGCGCCGCTTGGGAGTGCGGTGGCGCTGCTGCTGAGGGTTCGGATCCCATGTGGAGACCGGTTCCCGCTCACTGGCTGAGCGTGGTGCGGGTGCAACACCGAGGGTTGCGATCCCGTTGCCGGTCAGTAAAAAAAGACAAAAAGGAAAAAAAAAAAAAAAGAACAAGATCATTTCAATCACCCCATCAACAACCCTATCAGTACAAACTATAATTGTCCCCATTTTACAGATGAAGAAACAGGCTTGGAGAAGGCAGGGGTGTTGCTCTCCCTCGTACTCTTCCAGGGCCTCCACTCCCCTTCCCTTCTCCTCATTCGAGTTTCTCCCTTTGTCCCTGATGGAGTTTGGATGTGTCGTCCCCTCCAAAACTCATGCGGAAATTTGATCTCCAATGTGGCAGTGTTGGAAACTGATTGAGTCACGGGGGCGGATCCCTCATGAATGGATTCATGCTCTCCCTGGGGAGGGGGGCGTAATGAGTGAGTTCTCGCTGTATTAGTTCCCACGAGAGCTTGAGAGCTCGTCGCTTAAAAAGACCTTGGCACCTTCTCTCTCTCTTGCTTCCTTGCTCTTGCTTCCTCTCGCCATGTGATCTGCTTGTACCCACCAGCTGCCTGTCACTTTCTGCCATAGCTGTCACTTTCTGCCATGAGTAGAAGCAGCCTGAAGCCCATGTGAGATGCAGCTGTCCCAGAATCATAAGCTAAATAAACTCCTTTCCTTTATAAATTACCCAGTCTCAGGTATTTCTGTTATAGCAACACAAAACTGACTAATACAGTCCCCCAGGGCTCAGGCTAGAGCTGAGCTAGAACTCGGGACATCAGGGATGTTTGGGTGACACCAACTTGTCACAGCTATCCTCAATCCCATTTCCAAACCTATCTCATGAAACACCTTCCTAGTAGGAGCCAGTACTCAGTTCACCTCCTTCCCTACTTTGTCTTGCCCTGCAGCTATCCCACTGAGTGCGGATGATGAAGGTGGCCACAGTGCCACCCCCAGGCAGCACAAGCTATGAGCTCCGGAACCTGGGTGTGGAGAAGCCAAGAACACAGCTGCAGTCTAGAACCTAGACCCTAGTCACTGAGCCAGTGAACCTCATTTCTTATGAAAGAAATCCATCTGTGGTTTCCAGACCAGGAAAAGGAACAATAATTCTTGCAAGAAACCATCTTAAGGAATTTGGAGTAAATGAATTAAGCCCAAAGTTTTCCAGAGGGTGTGACGAGTGTCCCGTTTTTCCCAGCACCAATTTTTCTGAGTGTAATTTCTTCACTCAGTTTGGGTCTCTGAGGTAGAGGTATCACAAAAGCCAGGACTGGCGTGCCATCTCTTCCGGCTTGTGGGACCTCCGGGTCTAGCCCTGGATTTGTTTTTTATGATTGATGAGATAGCCTTGGCAGCCTTCTAACAGCTTTCATTAGGCAGACTAGATGCCAGCATCCCTCTACCCAGCTCCCGAGATGCTGTGAGGACAAATGAAGTCACTTATGGCAAACACACACAAAACACTAGCCCAATGTCCTGTTCGAACTACACTATTCTGCCCTTGTACAAGGTGGAGGTAGTATCTACTGGGGTTTTAAGTAAAGAATGAAACCAAGACTCTCTACTACTTATTCTGCATAAGTTATCACTCTATACAGAAGGAAGGCTCCCTACATCTCAATTAGAGACCTATAAAGCCTGTAACAATACGAGGGTACTTCATAAAGTCTGTGGAAAAATAGAATTAAAATGATAATATGAATCTTTCCATGACCCTTTTCAAGTATCCTTGTACAGCCTCACTTGAAAAATGGTAGTAGAGGTCTCTCAGGCCTTCCTGTAACAGTGCCCACCCATCCTGCAGGTATAGTGCACCTACCTGCTGGTACCTAGCAGGGACCCAACACGGTGAGGCTGGGGCAGTCTCCTGGAATGAGGCCTCAGCACTTTGCTCCAGCCTCACTGATAACTTCTGATCAGTGAGAAGCCATGCTTCCCAAAGGTAAGGACCACAAAGTTCTTAAAAATCCTTCAACACTTCAGCTAGTGAGGTGTTCCCCTGTTTTATGGACCTATCCCCCTACAAGTCCCAGGTGCATGATCTGAGGTGGGACTTCTGGTATGGGGCTTACGGAAGTGGCGCTGGTGAGGCCTCAGCTGAACATTCAGGCCCGAGTTTGGGGAGCGGATGCTGTGCTGCAAACCCCGTTCTAGGGCACGTTTTAACCAGGTGTCCTGGGAGGTCGAGAGACAGGTCAAGTCTACCTTCACAAATGACTATTCAATAGGCCCTCAATAGGGTGCTGAGCACGAATGAGCCACCTAGGAAGAAATTAGTGTATTCCTAGCACGCATCTGATGCATTCATAAGATGCTCAGGCAGCAAGACATCCAAATGCCACTGAATTCCTCAAATACAAATTTGACTTTTAAACTTTTTTTTTTTTAAATTGAGGATCAAGACCACAGACAATTTATTATGTAAGACATGGGGTGAAGAATGACCAAGGACAGTTATGGCTGTGAGTGACACGGAATTAGATGAAAAGGCTCAAGTTTGCTGAAGAGAGTTTAAATTTGGCTTTTGCTCTTGGAAACGTCAAAATAATAAGAAGCACTTAATGCCTTACAGAGCAAATAATCCACAGAGTGTCATTTTCATTTTGCAAACAGGGTCACAACAGCAGTCAAATAGAAGCCTAAACACCCAGAAGAGTTAACATACAGGTTCGGTAAGATATAACAAGGGACTGAGCATGCTGCTGGGTTTTTAAATGAGATCCACATTGAACCCTGTCACCTACTGGAGGTTATAAGTGGAACCTGGGGAAAGCAGCTTTTCCATACAAAACAACAACAACACAATGACAACAAAGAAAACCAGACTCTGCTGGATGTCTATAATACTCATTTGCAGTAAGGCTTTCAAGATACAGGAATTTTTATAGCATTTGTATTTTAAGGATTTAGGGCAAATACATTTTTTTCTACCTGATAAAAAGAAAATTAGTACTTAAAAGGTTCAAAAATATATTGATTGAGTGATTTTTTTTTACATAAATAAATTATATTGATTTTTAGGATTTAATAGCTGAAAAAACCCTTTCTGCTTCCACTGGAGGCAAAACTGAACAAAATGTTAGTTAAATAGAGCAGCATTTCTAAGAAATCTGTTGTCAACATTAGAGACGATCTACGCTACAAGGATGTCATTAAATAGAATCTGTTCAATTACTGGATTCTTTCTCCTTATATAATCAGTTGTAGAATTTCTGGTTCATATCTGATTCATAAGACTGGGACTCCACTTTTTGAAAACACGTCTGATTGATTTTTTCAGTCATGATTTAACAGACTTCTTTGAGATGCTCACTTTAACATTTACATAATTTATAATCCCAAATGTATAAAAGACAATGACAAAAGCATCATAAATAAATAATGCAAACTGAAATAGTTATGCTGAACTTTTGGACCTTCTGATAAATTAGCAAAACTGTAACAGAAAAAGTAAAAAGTACAGTAAATTGTGACAACAGAAAGTGAAGTTGGTACTAGTGACACTTGCAACATTTCCAGCGGTCCGGTCCTGTGCAGCCCTGTAACCCCCTGAGGACCGAGGCCGTGAGCTCATTTCAAGTCTCAGGGTGTGATCTATCTGCGGAGACCAAGACCACCGGAAGGGACATAAGATGAGCGGGAAAGAGAAAGCGGGAAGTGCTGTTTCCGCAGGCTCTCCCCAGCTCAGTCCCTGCGCATGGAGAGGCTGAGGAGGGAGAGAGAGTAATGGTGACTACAACAGTCTCCACTAACTGCTAACTTGGAATTTGGGTCCAACTGTAAGATATAAACAGAATAGAGAGATAATGGAGAGAGGGGAAAAAAACTTCACAGTTGTATTATAAAAGGTGGTACACGTTTTGATGACCTAAAATAACCTTGACCAAAGGACCTAGCAGTGTCAAAGTGTGTAGCAACTATCTTCTCACAGGCTCCAGAAAGAGCCTATTCTTGGTGGAGAGCACAAACTGTAAATCCATTGGGTCCCGGTGTCCTTTAAACACAGAGAGGCAAACCAGTGTCCAGGGAAGTTCTGACAAGGCTGAGCTGAAGGCAGAGCGCTAGCCATGCGCCTGGGAAGCAGCGTGCAGCTCTCTGCAGGGACAGCCCTTGCCCTGCCTGGTTGCCTGAACAACTCGGCTGTGTGTAAAGCTTTCTGACTGAGAGAGTCATCTTTGAACTGGGAGAGGGATAATGCGTATGTGTAAAATAACGCCTAGTCAGTCAGTATTTCTTTTTGCTGCAGGTGTCTGAAAAACCATGAAGGGAGAAATTATCTTACTACCAGGAAGGATTTGGTTTTCTATAAAGAAATGAATATATGCATTTTCAACCATTAGTTATATACTTGTCTATACTACTCACTTAGTAATCATGATAAAATAGGGAAATACTTTAACTCAAAAATACGCACCAGTCAGTACTTCCTTTTTCTGTGCTTTTTGGTTCCCCAGTTACATTCTTCCTGTTCAACCTAGCTCATGGAAAAAAAGAGCTCCTCTTTGTTTCTGTTCTTCGGCCCTTCAATGGAAAATCCCTAGACAGCTTTCCTTTGCCATTTTCCTCCTCAAATAAGGGGAAACTTGGAAGAGAAGGGGGTAGGGTGTGTCACCGAGTACTGTATTAACAACAATTGCTGGAATGAACTGGATAACAGAATGAGAATTGTGTGCCTCCTAGACTAGGTGGACGACACTTATCTAATGAAGTGGCAAGACCCTGCAACTATTAACATCTGTCACCATATTCTCAGACAGGAAATTAGGTAGGTAATATTACTTATGGAAACACAGGTTCTCGTGGAAGTGAAGTGAGGGAAGTAACAAACCTTTATGGGATAAGAAACTTACAAGTCACAATAATTTCTTAAATGAAAAAAGTTCTAATTGGTGTTGGTGTTGGAGTCTTTGAGTCCACCTTCCCCAGCCTGTGCCACATGTTCTCTCTCTGGGAGCAAAGGGGCACTGGACTCAATGCAGTTCTGATCACTGCCTGGCTCCCTCTCGCACCCAGAAGTAGACTCTGGGGTGGGGGTCAGGTTGTCTCCTTTTGTTTTCTTCTTCTTCCTCTTCTGGCTCTCCAGGCCTGCTATTTCAGAGTGCCTGGCCTGCTGCATGGCTGGCAGAGCCATACCCATGCCAGGGGAGAGAAACATGGATGGGTAAATGAGTCCAGGAGACACTCCTGGGATGAGGAACGGGTTAAAAGCCACAGGACTACTAGTAGTCATTGTAGGTTCAGACTGATCAGAAAATGGACTAGGGCCAGGCTTGTCTTCAGCTACAGTGTCTGTTTTCACATCACGGCTGCTCGGCTTGTCTTCCACAGTCTTTTCGGTTGCTGTTGTACTGCTTTTTGTTGTGCTTGGTAGAGATGCTGCAGCAGAGGAAGTACAGGTGGTTGCCATGGGTGAATTGAGGAGTCCTCCGACCCCGAACATCTGGGGCACAGCAGCCATGCCTGGCAGCATCATGGGCAGCATGCTCAGGGTGCTCTTGACCTCTTCGCCTGTGGGCATGGTGGCAAAGCTGGCTGGGAAGCCCACCAGCCCTGTCAGGGGGATGCCTGGCACATTTCTCATGCTCTGAAGTCCCACCAGGTCCATCCCAGCAATCAGGCCATTCATGAACAGTGGCCCCATCCCAGAGGGGGTGTCTGCCACAACGGCGGGAGCTTTCAGGAGCTCATTCCGAGGCCGCCTCCCCCTCCTGCGGGGACCCACGTCGCGAAGAACAGGCTCAGCCAGGGTGTGATTGAACTTGTTTTCTGGGAGAAACCCCTGAAAAAGGACAAAGAAACATAAGACGCTGTAGGTAACTGGATGGCAGACGGTCAGCTGGGTGTGATGACTGGCGCTCGGCACTGGCCTCACCTGTTCCCAGATCCACAAAGGGTCCCCAGTGGGTGGAATATCCCTTGCCCACTGGCCTAGAGTCACGCAGCTCACTGGCACAAGTGTATCTGAAGGGTTTTTCCCTCAGAGGCCAATAGCATTAGGTGGCATGGGCACAATCAAGTTACCTGTCACCACCAAGAAGTGCTTCCAACGCTCACTAGCAAAAGAGGTGTCCACCCTGTGAGAAGCTGGCAGAGCTGGGAGCTGGGATCAGTGCTGAAGATGCCCCACTTACTGCTGCAACCCCTTCACCAGATCCCACCACGTTCCTTCCTCATGACACAGGAAGGTTTTCACTGAAGTAAGAAAGCACAGTATGTAAGACAGTTTTGGAGCCAGAAAGACCTCAGCTTAAATCCTGACTCTGCAACCCCCTTGCTGTGGGACTCAGGACAAGTCAACTAACCTCTCCCAGTTTTGGTGAAAAAGGACAATGGCACCTATCTTCTAGAGTCACTGGGAGTGAAGTGTTTAACACAATCCCTTGTCCACAGAAAGCAGTGCTCCCGAAGGGGACAACATTTGTTGACTGTGCATGCCCCACCTCGTCTGGATCCTGAGCTCCTGGTGGGGGAGCACTCTGAAGGCAATGGGACAAGTACACATTTGTTAAAGAAATGAAGGAATTCTTGAACATGGTTGGGGAGATGCCACCAAAGTAAGCGATGTTCTGGTTTCCCTTAAGGAAGACAACCTATTTCTCCTCTACTCAGAGGTTTATGCTCCAGTTTTCTTAACCTGAGAAGAACTCTGCAGTGACACACTTCTGCTCCGCATGGACTACACTGTGCGAGGCCTGGGACTCCCAAGTCCATTTCTGCATGGGTCACCCAGCCTCATACAACATGATGATGAAGCTACCTGAGATCATGGAAGAGAGCAGATCACTTCCATAGGAGCAGAGAGCAGGAGGCAGCATGGTAGGGAGGCTGCAGACTGCCTTCTCAAGAGCATGGCTTGGGAGCAGTGCAAGGCCAGGAGGACGTGGCAGGGACCTGCTCTCTGGAGCCTGTGGTCAGGCTGTGGAGAGGTAATTCAACCACTGCACTTATGATGTATCTATCTCTGGATTTGTTTCAGAGATGATGTGAATACTCCTCACACGAAGAGATAACTGTTTTCCCCACAGAAAGGGAATGGTTTCTTTTAGGACTTCGTGGGTGCAGTGCCTGTGCCCCTGGATAACTGTGCACACCTTCTCTCTCCTGCCTTCCACTCTTCACACTATCAGTTAGTTTATCAAGTTATACATGTCCACAGTATTTAAAAAAGGCAAACTGTGCTGTAGGGCAGTCTCAGTCTTTTCTCATAGAGAGGAGGAGTATAAAGAAAAAGCCCTTCCCTGGTGGTGCCTGAGAAGCCAAGTGTCCTTTCCCAGCCACACTGAAGTCACGTGGCCCTAACTGCCCAGGTGTCTCCTTCTTAGGGCCCCTGTTACAAAGTGGGTGCTACCTTCCCTTTGATTACAGCAGTGATGAAGCTGAGGTGTTCAGAGTGGCCTTGACGGATTCCACTGAGGACACAGGCTACCAATGAGGCTGAGATATGGACTGTGCAGAGTGGCAACTGGCTGGGTGGGCTCAACAGTGAGGCTTACTTGGCTGCATTTGTTGCCTTTCAGAATTCTCTTCTGAGCAAATGCCTGCCTTCCTGCAGGAGTCTGGAGCAGGTGGTGAGTGGGGATCTGGCGGGAAGCAACCCTGGTCTGTGAGCAGGGACCTGACTGCGTTCCTCAATGGAGCACACTCTTGGGGCAAAGAAGGAGATTGCAGGTCTCACCAAGAGACACCAGAAGGCAGAGAAAACCCCTATTGTTATGGCCTGGAGTCCTATAGGATGAGAATGAAGTCAGGGAAGCTAAGGAGATATAAAGGCTGAGACTGGCACCTAGGCCTGAGAGCAGTTAAGAAATCTACTCACAATCTTCCCAAGGACACCTACTCTTTAGCTTTAACTCAGTAGCTTGGGCATTTCCATTTGTTCCACTGTCCTCCCAAAAATATTAAAGAAGTAAAATCCTTAGAAAACTCAACAGACTTTTGATTAAGGGGCTCCCAAGGGAGAAGGGCTGGGTGCGGTGCCTCTCACGTGGGAGGGCCGCTGGCTGCTGCCGGGGTGCTGCAGGTGGAGACAAAAGGAAGAGCCCCAGGAGCAACGGCAGCCACCACTGCAGACGCCTGCACATGGTCAGGCACGGCCTGCCTTACCTCAACCAATCATCACATCAGCTCTATTGAGTCAGTGCTAGTATCGCACCTGCTTTCCAGAGAACTTACAGATTCCCAGACATGTGAAAATATCTAAATGAATGTTTCCCAGTCCCCAGAAAGTTATTTTTAAAGTCCTATGCCTGTCCTTCAGTTTCTCAAAGAACATTCAAGACACACCAGTTCATTGTGGACAAAAACGCTTTAGGACAGAAGAGAAAACTCTTCTCAAAAAGCCTTGGCTTAGTATTACGCAGCTGGAAGAAACCTCTGAAACTGTCATATTTGGTCCTCTTCCTTCTCACAAACAGAGAGGGCAGAGATCTGCCCCAGGGTCACAGTCAGGGACAGAGCAGGCCACAGCCCAGGCCTCGCACGCTTGGCCCAGTGTTCTTTCCACATTACACCACATCCTTCTTTTATTCCCAACAGGACCAGCCACCTGCAATTTGCTAGGACGGTTTATCCTGGGGTGTGCCAGGCAGCTGCCCACTCTGGGGACAATTACTTGGGGAGCAATTCCTGGCTGGTTCCTGTTCCTAAAGAGGGACAGTAGGATCTGATGGATCAGGGCCAGGCTAAAGGACACTTTCTCACCAGTCCATCTCGATCTCATCAATGCCAACTGCCTCATTCTGGGCCAGCCACTCTTGTCTGCTCCGCAGAGTCTCAGGCTCTTGCTGGCAGCACACCACCTCACCCAGGGTGACCACAACATGATCACAGACTTTCCTGAGCCCTCCTCCCTACAGCCCACCCACGACCAAGAGCCATGGAAAGGTGCTGGGGAGAGTCTTTTTCCTTTGTACCTACAAATGTTCCCTCTTAACTCTCCCCTATAACTGTTCAGTGGGAGGGGCATGTTCAACTCAGAAGCCTTTCTCTTGGGAGGAAAACAAGCCCGGATCTTGACGAATAACGCTGCCTTACTTTCAATCTGCTATAAACCAGATCTTCTTTACCACATTTCATTTTGAGTTCCTCGACACCTAGGAGGACTAGACAACTCATTTAAAATCAGCCTGTGCCCCACAGTACTTTGGCCTCCCTGGCCCTGCCCACCAAGGGCAAGGAGCACTCCTCAGGCATTAGGGTGTCCAAAAACTCCCTTTCCCTGCTTTTGCTAAAACCACGGATGCAGAGAGAATTCTAGGCCCTTCTGGAAATGACAGCCTGCTAAAAAGGCACAATTGGTCCTCTTTCCCTTCCAGATCTGGATAGCAGTGATAGGCAGGCCCCATGGGTGAGGAGAACAGTCCCTCATCTCAGCAAAGCAGGAGTAGTGCTAGCAAAGGAAGCTGGCTACAGCCACTTCCTGTGCAAGGAGAGTCACTCCAGCCACCCAGCTGCTGCCCACCAGTCAGGTGCCCCTCCTAGCAGCTTGGCGACCACACACAGCGGCCAAATCAGGCTTCGGCAGCTCTCCCTCCTGGTAATTATACCCTGGGAGCAAACCTGCATCCTCTTCCAGCGGAGGCCTGGGGTGAGGGCAGAGAGCAGAAAGAAGAGATTCCTTGTGTTCAAGCAACTCTGGAGGCAAATATGCTTTTCCAGATGATTACATGGGCATTCCAGCCCAAGAAGAGCATCCTTATCATGACCTGGTAGCATTTATTGCAACTCTAAGACTCATCTCTTGAGTGGAGGTAAGAGAAGGGTAGCGACCATAGTGTCCTTACTCCTCCCAGGAAAATTAGTAGGTTCATCCAACAAATGTTCAGAGAGAAAAGAGACCTAACAACAAAAAGTAATATGTGGCTCCTGACTTAAAAATCCTAAAACCAAAACAAACTAAAACAGACCAAAAACCAGCTATAAAAGACATTTTTGGGACAACTGGTAAATCTGAATATGGACTACATACCAGATATTATTAATATCCACATGGGTGATAATGTCAATAATTATGTAGAAAAATGTTCTCAGGAGACACAAACTGTAGTATTTAGGGGTAATATGTCTGCAACTTACTGTCAAATGGCTAAAAAAACAAAACAAAACTATATACGCATATGTAAATTACATATATGAACGATATTAAGTATGTGTGTGTAATACATATATTTAATGAGCAACCACTTCGTTATGTATGGGGCATACTAAAGTTGAATTTCATGGCCTTACATGCAGCTTGCGTTATGCTACGTCTGTGCACCTTGCCCAGCCAAATCACAGCACCTATAGCAGAAGGGCTGTGTGAGCTCGAAAGAAGGAAGGAGCTCCTTGTAGGATTTTAATCTAGTTTAAGAAGGGGTAGAGTTTCTGCTATGGATGGGATATTTGTGTCCCCTCACATTAATATGCTGAAATCCTATACCCCAAGGTGATGGCATTAGGAATCCTAACAAGAGCTCGTTCGTCCCTTCCTCTATGTGAGGACACAGTGAGAAGACAGCTGTGAGGAATAGGCCCTCAACTGACGCTGAATCTGCTGGCACCTTGATCTTGGACTTCCCAGCCTCCAGAACTGTGAGAAATAAATTGCTGGTGTTTATAAGCCACCTAGTCTATGGTGTTTCTGTCAGAGCAGCCTGAATATCCTAAGAGTTTCCATGGGAAAGAAAAAGCGCAGCACACTCTGGAAGGCTCGTGTCCCAGGAGACACTGGGAGATGTGCGGGCTGCCTGCAGTGAGCAGCGTGGTTCTGCCCTACTGGGGAGGCAGGAGAAGGCCCTCAGAGGCAGGGAGTGTGTTTATTTAACAAAGCAGGGAAATATATCTCTGGGAAGAGGCTGGCGTGCAAGAACAGCTTAGAAATGGGTTTTCTGGCAAGAGGTCAGCATCTGCAAGGAAAGGATGCACATTAATTTCCAAGGAACATGAGGGGAATTGTTAGACCTGAAGAAAGAAGTGAGAAAGCCAAGAGGGAAACCATGTGGTTTTTCTTTTTTTTTTTTGACAGGTCTCTAAACCAAGAGCTCAGAGACTACAACAAAGCCAGAACTTGAGGCCTTTCCTTGATGATGTAACCAAGACACTGCCTGCTAAGACAAGCAGAAGGTGGGGCGGCAGAGTGAGGGGGTTTAGGAAGGACAGATGGGATGGAAACAGGAGCTAAATGAGCTCGCGTGGCACAAATGAGCCTAAGAAAAGGGTGGTAGCAACATTTTCTGAGAATGAAGCAAAGTGGGGAAGAAAGGGCAGCTCTCCGATGTGACACACTATATAAGCCCAGGTCTCCCTCCGAGTGGCTGTGGTAGTGACAGGAGATGAGTGAGAGCTGTGGTCTGTGGAACTGCTGGAAGAGTCATAATCCAGGTGACAAGATCAGTAACAAGCTCCTAGAGAACACTAAATACTAACTTCTTTCGGCAGGAGGAGGAAATGACTAGGCTGGGCGGTCTTCTGGAGCTAAAAATAGAAATCACATTCAGGCGACCCCACCGAAGAGGAAATTCATCCTCAAGGAAAGATATAGTTGGCAAAGTACTTAAAGAGAAGGTATTCAGGAAAGCTTGAGTTGATGGAACAACCTGGGAAGAGAAAATGTCCCCAGGAGGGTCTTCAGAAGCTTCCTATTTGGGTGGGACGCACTTTTAGGAGGTTAAAAGCACACATGTATAATCTGCCCAAGCTCAACACATTTTCAAGTTGAAGTGTTATTACCGCCCCCTAGAGGTAATGACTTTTCTATTCCAAATTTGTGGTCGATCTGTAAACTCGAATTAACTCAGATTTGTTATACAAGAAGTGTTCTGCAGATGTCTTTGATGTCCCTCTCAGTCTTGTGATCCTATGATAGGAAAAGGACGGTGCTAAGGGTTGGCTGGTTTTCACTGCCAGTGAGGATGGACTAGGAAGAAACGTATTAAACGGGGGCTAGAAAAACTTAGATTAGGAAATGGAAACTTCAAATAATGAAGTTTGTTAATAAGCACTGGAAAAAAACTCCTAATGAGGATTAAGGTTTCTTTTCCCTTGTAACCCTGCAAATAGGAAAGAAAAAAAAAATCAAGCTTTGGGAATGTTTTAACAAGCAATCATGGAGGTAAAGGCTGAAAATGAGTGACGGGTAGTCACCCTGCTGTTCAGAAATTCCACAGCACCGCTTGCCACTATTTACCAACTGCCTGTGCTGCCTTCTTGGCCTCTCATTTGCCCAGCTATCCACTTCCCAGCTGGGCCTTTCTCTCCAGCGTGCAAGGAGTGGCTCAGACAGGATGCCCCTAGCCCCATGTTCACGTCCTTCTGCCTTACCCTCAGTCCTGGCTCCTTGGGGACAGCAGGAACCCTCTCTTCCCCACTCAGAGAGCTGATGTCTAATTTTCCAGGTTCCTTACAGCGTGGCCTCCTCTGCTTTGGTTTGTCTGAAAAATTCTAGGAGGCAAATAGAGACCAATATTATAAAACATCCCATCACAGATTCTTCCGATGAAAGTGGTACTTTCTCACTGTTTTTGTTCCCCCCTCATTAATGGCCTGCTGCACAGAACCTGCTCAGATTAGGCTGAAGGAAACCACCACCTAGCCCTCACTTAGGCTTTCCCTCCTTGAAGCACCAGTGTTCCTGTGGTAAGTTGGACAAAGGGCTGTGTGGGCCCCTGACCCTCCAGACCAGAACACGTGAGCTGACGCGCCAGGTTCCCAGGGCACTGCTTAATTCTTAGCCTTCTCTTTATCACTTTCTTGGATTCTCTCTCCACTGCTACATTCCCAGCTGGTTTTACCTATTTTTGGAGGATGAGCATCCGTGAATATGTTCTCCTCCTTTTCCTGTGGCTCTCTACCTACATATCTTATCAGTTAGCTGTACCCAGGACAAAAATGGTGATGGGGTAGATGAGCCAGTGAGAGAAGAAAAACCAAGAAAAGGGCCAGCCCGTGGCTCACTTGGGAGAGTGTAGGGCTGATAACACCAAGAACATGGGTTCAGATCCCATATAGTGATGGCCAGTTAGCTCATTGGGTGAGCGTGGTGCTGACAACACTAAGTCAAGGGTTAAGATTTCCTTACCGGTCATCATTAAAAAAAAAAAAAAGAAAACCCAAGAAAAGACATCAGTGCTCAGGAACCTTCTGCTAAAGATTTCTAACCTGAAGAACTTAGGGTAAAGGAGTAAGACGACTTGGAAATGTCCCAGAGCAATAACTGTAGGACTAAGAATAGAATGGTCCCCCTTCCCCAACCAAAAGAAGTAATGTATTGACTTCAAAATAATACATAGGCAACTTTTCACCAAATGGCAGAGTTTACCCAACCTAAAGAGGGGGCAATTTTTTGTGGTAATGGGGAACGGAGGTGGGGAATGTTGAACTTGGGCAAGTTCTGGCCTCTTAAGATTTTGCATGTCTACTTTTTAGCACAGCATTTTGACATGGGCTGGCATTTCTAGTATTGAAGAATTTAACTAAAATTTAAACTTAAAAAAAAAAAACTTTAAAATGATGTTCTTAGTCGACACAGATTTCTCCCAAATAGCTCCCAACGTCCTGGTTTCCGTCAGCATGTTCTTATCCGAAATGGCAGCGAGTCAGCAGAAGTCAACAATGCTCTTGGATGGCACCGTGGACACTTACTGCCCCAAAGCCAGGGACTTCTAAGGAGCAGTCGGCCTGCTGTCTCAGCCAGTCAAGCAGACTCTTGCTGGGCATGGCCTTCTCGGCCTGGCTGCCGGCTGCTGCGGCTGGCTCAGCAGCAGGGGTAGCAGGCCCTGGCCCTTCAGTGTGTGTAGTGCTCGGGGTGGCCTGCCCTGGTTCTTCATGGACTTCCTAAATGAAGGAAAAAAGAGGATGTGTAGTTATTCACAACAGAATGAAAGTTCATTAGTAAAAGAGAACATATAAGGTGTCCTTTGAATCTTTCCACCTACTTCCACCTAATATGACTGCTGGGGTGCTTGAATCCTACACACGCTAGCAACCCCCACACAAGCTTTGCACACACTGGGAGCACCCTCCACCTGAACGCCCACTCCTCTCCTGTTCACTTGGTAAACTTACCTCCATCCTGACTGCTCACTGACTGTTCCCACAGCACTGTGTTCACAGCTCTCCCATGTAAAGAGAACACCACCCTGCCATTTACTTACCTCGTCCCCTCTAGTTTGAACGCGTTTTACTTTTCGTTGCATTACCAGTGCCTATATGGGCACTATGATAAAATACGTCAGCATCTAAATGAGCATTTGCATTAATAAATTTAAAAAATACTCTGAGGCTAAGGGGAAAAATTTTTTAACAGTCATTCCACTGGAATTCTATGAGTTTTACAGAGAAACCATGGCTTTGCACTTCTAAAAAACCTAACAACCTTCTTAAAAGCTTGCAGGATTGGGCAAGGAAAGAACCTTCTACTTCAGCTTCTGAAATTATATAGAAAGTCTTAGAGGAAGACATATGCCAAACAATATAGTTCAGTAGTTAAGCTCTCAGCATCTAGAGAACAAAGTCCTTGGTTTCCTGCTATGCCACTTACTAGCTGGATAATCTTGGGCAAATTACTTAATGCTTTTAAGCCTCAGTTTCCTCATCTATAAAATGGGAATAACACCATCACCTATCTTCACAGGGTTGTTGTGAGGATCAAACAGGATAATCATGAAGAACCTGAATGCAGTGCTTGGCATATGGTAAGCACTGGTTACATACTAGCTGCTGCCATTCCTTTAAAATAAGAAAACGTTGATTCCTGTTTTGAAGCTCAAAATCCAATAAATAAGGAAAACCAAAATACATTAAGCAAAGTCTGAAGGGGATTTCTCTTGGCCAGGTCTACAGTTTCTGATCTTTCCTGTGGTTTACAATGATCTCCATGGATCCTCACAGCAACCCTCTGCAGTGGACGCTGCCGCCCACTTTCCAGAGGAGCAACATGAGGCTCACTGGCATGCCCAGTGTGCCCACTAAGCCAAGGTGGAGTCAGGACCAACCACTGGGTAGCCCTGGCTCCTGCTCCTTTGCCCATACCCCAGCTGCTGGAAAGCCTCACTGCCTTGGAGAAACACTCCCGCAAGCTCAGCCCGACGTCTTGCTTTGCTTGTTCAATCACCAGCAGCTCTTCTGGAACATGGGAGGACTTGGCTGTTTCTACTTGACATGGCAAGGCCTCCTGGCTTGTTTCTCCAGGCTGCATGCAGATTAAGGGCCATTAATGGGCTAGTAACTATTTCTAGAAAGGATGAAGGGCATCTTATAGAAAGAGAAAATAAGTAGGACAACTGAAATAGCCATAGACAATCCATAAATCAATATTATTTTTGTCTGAGGAAGAAGGGTTTGTTTTTCAGTGTAGAAAGGTCAGTGTTTTTACTTAATGCCTCATGTACCCACCAAGATTCCAGCCTGAAGGGTCTGCTCCTTCAAAAAGATGAGGTCCATCCCTTCTTCAACATGTTTCCGCCTCCCTCTCCGCCTCCTCGTGGCTGCATCATCTCTCCTGAGGCTTCCATTAACAATCTGCCCAGTCACTGGATGGATGAGGCCTGCTTGTAGAATCCCAGACAAGTCCATGCCAAGGGCTCCTTGAAGTGAACCGATAGCCCCAATCTTAGGGGTGCTGGCACTCACTGGGAAAGGGGATGTGGCTCCTGGGGACCCTTCTGATGAGCAGGAGAGGTCTATAGCAGACTCCCCATGCCAGCCATTGAGGACGATGGGGGGGTGGCCATGGGAGGAGAACTGTGCATCCCTCTCCGCCTCAAACTCGTAGGGACGTCTGTGCTTCTGTTCGTCCTTTGTGAATATTGGAGCTAAGAAGCTCTCCTGTGAACACACATGGCAAGAGAGGCTTGACCGCCACTTCTGGCTGAACGCCAGCTCTTTCTCCAGGCCTGATTTCCCTGGGCCTTGTATTATTTCCAATCATCTTGTTAGAAAGTCTTTTAACTCAAGCCTTCTCAAACTTTAGTACCAAATCACCTGGACAGCTTGTTAAAATGCAGATTCTACTTCAGTGGGCCTGAGGTAGAGCCTGAGAGTCTGCATTTTCAACACATTTCCAGATGCTTCTAAAGTTGCTAGTCAATGAACTACATTCTGAATTGCAAGATAACAACTCAGGGATTCTCAGCCTCAGCTGTACATCAACATCACCTGGGAAATTAAAAAAAAAAAAAAATCCCAGTACCCAGGCCACACTCCAGAGACCAATTAAATCAGATTCAGTATCTTTTCAAGGTCCCCAATTGATTCTTGCGTGCAGTGGAGCGTGAGACCTAGTGCTAACAATGTATCTCAAACAAAACTCATGGCCTCCCACGGAAGTGTTCACTCCTGCCTTGATTTCCCTGTTTCTGTCAGCTGCCACTGTTCTCTCAGTGATCTATGCATGCCTCCCTTTGCTTATGTATTTATTAGTCATCGAGTCATCTTTGCTGATTCACTGTATTCACTCTGCCCCTAATCTGGAGCCTGGAACCTTCTTTCTTCATCAGTTCCTCGGTTGGCCCCCCAGCCTGAGGCACTCCTCTCCTCTGACCCTCGGCTCCCCTGCCAACCTGCACAGCACTCCAGCTGAGCTGTAAAACCATGCTTTCATCACACATTTCCCTGCTCCAAAACTTTTAGTAGCTCTCCACTGCCTACTGGATAAATTTTAAATTCCTTAGTTAACACTAACGGCTTGACAAAAACCCCTATCCATTCAGTAAATATCTGTTGAATGAATGGCTCAATCAGGAAGTGGACTGTGCCCACCCTTCCCTGTTTTGTGGTCAACACTACTGTCTCAGCCTCACCTTCTGGATCTGGGAGGCCAGTGCTGCGCCATTGCTGAAGCTGTGTTGTGCCACTTCTGGTTCTGTGAGGCTGCTTCGAGAACCAGCACTGCTGGCTAACACAGGGGTAGGCAGTGTGCCCGAGGGCTCATAGGGCTGGCTGGCGGGCCACTTCCCCTTTAATACTACATGGCAGATGTTATCCAGGCGGTTGATTATCACACGATCCTAGAAACAAGGACAACAGCTCCGAGGAATTAGTACCAAGTTACCCAAATTCACAAAGTCCCTTGAGATCAAGGGTCAAGTTTTCCCAACAGAAGGAGCTGATTAGAAAAAAGCACACTCAACATATTCACTTTATAAGCCTTAAAATAAAATTCACAGTATGGAGAATGAAAATTAAAGTCATAGTGCTATGAATATGAGGACAATTTGACACTTTGGTCTTATGGTCTAATTAGTCAAGTGCATATATCTTTAATGTTCGAATGTTACATAACCAATACCTTTTAAAGATACTAAACATTTCTGAGTCTGTTATTCAGAAACATTCTAAAAGGTTTAAAATATAGGATTCAAAACAGAGAATGCTTTGGGTAGAAAGCAAGGTACCTTTGGCCACTCAGAGAAGGAGTACAGGGTTTTCTCCTGTAGCAGCTGAGCAATGGTGGGGGCCCGAGCCTCCTGCAGGTCATCACCGAGGTCCCCTGTGATGCCCGAGGTGGAGCTCTTGCTCTCCTCTTCAGAGTATTTCCCTGGATAATCTGGGAAGAGGTTAAAAAGAATTAATTAGGCACTCGGGAGACAGTAGTGATCTGAAAGACCAGGATATCCAATCTGTCCTTGTTTTTTTAATTAGCTCATTCTGTGCTAATTTATTTTAAATTGAATATTAATTACCAAGCCTTCTATTTCCAGAACTCTATCAGTTAAGCCATAAAGGCAAATCCTGCTCTAGAGCTACCAACACCAGTCATCTGGTAAGAGTCTACATCCACACTCCTCAACAGCAAAAAAGGAAAAGAGAAAGGAATGATTTCTATGTATCCAAGAGTGAGAGGAGATGAATGGCCCCAAAGAAGCTTTCTCACTTGGTGTAGTGGACAAAAGGAAATGGACATTATCATACTGTCTATGAAACATGAAATGTAACACAGCGAAAAGTCATGAAACTTACGACAAAGGTAAAATAGACCTGATTCATATAAAAAACGATGCAAAGAAAGCTAGAACATTTCAATTATTTCACTGATGGAAAGAAATGGAAATGCAACTTGTTCTTTCAAGCTTCAGTAACAGTAAAAGTTTATTATCAATGTGAAATGGATCTTCAAAGATCCACTTACCAGTCATGACAAGGAATGAGCAGATGGTAGTGAAATGCCCAAGGCAGGAAGAACTGTGGACCTCTTTTGGTGAAATGAAAAGGAATATCTATCCTCTGAAATGTGGAAATTTCACTTTTGAATGTGCAACAAGTCTCTTAGGGAGCTACAGAGACCCTTTACCATGAACAGGACCTTGGCAGGCCTAGTGGACTCGAGGATAAACAGGATAGATGTGGTCCCAGCCCTCAACCTTCTCACAGTTTCATGAGGAAAGACAGGAAAGCAGTGACAATAAATGAATGACTCAAGTTATAAGCTGGGATAGGTGCTACACAGGGAATGACACAAGATGCCATTAACACGGAATGAGAGGGAAGAACTTACTCAAGCAGGCTTAGAGAGGGCCAACTCAAGTTATAAGCTGGGATAGGTGCTACACAGGGAATGATACAAGATGCCATTAACACGGAATGAGAGGGAAGAACTTACTCAAGCAGGCTTAGAGAGGGCCTCTTGGAGGACGGACCACCCAGGAAGATGAGGCGGCAATGGGGGAAGGGTGTCCGGGACATGCTGAGGACTCAAAGACGGCCAGGAGAAAAGTACAAAGATGAGGCTGGAGGGGCAGAAACCATCTAGATGATACTAAGCCCTGCACGCCATGACAGAAAATATGGATTTTATTCTAGATTCAATGGGGAGTACCACTGAGAGGTTTTCAGCAGAGGAGGTAGATTTAAGTTTTAAGATAAAGCAAAATGATGAGAGAAAAAACTCTGGAAGAACCAGGGGCCCTGGGGGCTGGTCTTGACAGGTATACCAATTAAATACTGCTCCTTTAGGACTGCAGATTTCTAGTCTTGAAAGCAGGACTAACCCTCTCTGCCCCACATACCTCACACATCGTATGTATGGAGAATCCCTTCCAAAGTCTGCAAAAGCACTTTTAAAAGCATTGGTGCAAGAGACTCCCATGCACACACATGCATGATGCTCCCCAAAACTTCTCAAGCTCACCGCTGCCTCCACCCTGACTTGGCAAGGCTGATACTGCCACCAAAGGACTTCAGTTCAGGAACATTTCTTCTCCTCTAAACCATTCTTACCTTTAATCTGTACTCATTTCATTGTCTGAGTTTCCAAGGATTGGTTACTTGGTGATTTTCCCTACAGTAGGGTTCAAAAAGCAATGTGGGTTTTACAATTCAACACATGGCAGTGATCCCTTGTGGCCTGGGGTGAGCAGGACCAGGCACGGTCACAGACTGACCTGTTCTGGGATGGCTGGGGCTACAATTCAATTAAGCTACTTTCAATTCAACTTCTCAGTCCTTACCTTAGCTATTGTGTAAATATTAATTTGGGTTCAGAACCCTTTCCAAGATTGTCCTTAATGACAATGACTAAAACCAAGATGGGGGAGTTTAAAAATAAAAAGACACTAGATAACTCAAGGGAGCGTTAGCTCCTCTTTAATACAGAATCATTGTCCCAGAAAGGGGAGGCTGTGCCTGTCTAAACCTTGAGAACCAATACCTAGCTTCAGGCCAGGAATGAACAGGGCTGTTTTTGTTTCTGTTTTGTTCTGACAATGAGAAGAATAAATAGGACAATTTCTGTTCACCCTAATATGCCGTCTTGATTCTGAAGAAATGAAAACAACATGTAAAAATAATTTGTGTTTCTGTTTTGTTCTGACAATGAGAAGAATAAATAGGACAATTTTTGTTCACCCTAATATGCCGTCTTGATTCTGAAGAAATGAAAACAACATGTAAAAATAATTTGTTGTTGTTCCTCAGGGTCCCTAAGCATTGTATTTATATTCCTGCAAAGCATAAAGAATCTCAGGGTCACCTAGATTCTTTTCTTAACATTTTGAAATTCCTTCTAACTTAAACCATTATCTAAGATTTCCCTATTTAAAAAGATCAAATCTATGTTTTTGTTTATTGAGTTACTTCTGAACTTTTAAAAAAATTTTGTTGAATTACCGAAAGGAATCTAAACCAAACATACTGACATTAAATCAGAGTTTTGATGATGACACAAATAAATGGTGTTTTTGCTCACCTTAACAAAGATCAAATATATTCCTATTTTTGTTCAGTTCATGAAAAATTAATTGCATCTGTATTAAATGCAGGTTCCTGTCATCCCAAGGTTGTTCTACTTTAACCAGTTTGAAGCACCTTATCTGGTGGAAGAACAAACTACTTCCTCTTAACACTACACTTAGCATCTGTTGTATGAAGTCACACGGTTGATGCAGCAAAGGTGTTGTGACTATCTACAATCATCCTCAATTTTCTGGAATGACCACAGTTAAGCTACTCTTTATGATTTTCAGACCAAGGACTGTGACCTTTGGTTTTAAACACTTGATTAGGGTAGGTAGGTCCATTTCAGAAGCTGTAAAACTACTGCACACTCCCTCCACCCCCAATCTCCCTGTCTTGTTAGAACTGGGTTATCCAAAATACCATAAGGTCCTACATACTGTACCTTGGCTATGGCAGTTTCCATCTCTATCATAATCATCTTTATTCTCAAAGTCCATGTCTTCTGACTTGAGCTCACTGCCTTCAGGAGGGTATGTGAAGAAACCTTTTTTCCCCTCTGCACCTTCTTTCCAAGGTTCTTTCAAAAGCTCATGCTTCACTTTATATGGCTCTGATGGAACAGCAGCGGGCTCAGCCTCTACTGTGATATTATTAGCTTTGTTTTTGTATGGGTCTGAGTTATAAGCCTTGGATTTATCCACTTCAAATTCGTCACTCTCAAGGCCACGTGTCCACCTCTCCATGTGTTTGCAGTGGCACTGACAGGCTACTGGAGCAAAAGCCCTCTGAGGTCCAGGAGTCTGGCCTACTGCCTCCGGGCTTCCTTTTCTGGCTTCATCTACAAGGAAGCCTTGGCTCTTTTGCCTTGGGATATTAGTGGTGGGCTCGAAGAAATGCAAAACCTCTGGCCTTTCTCTCATGCCTGCTGCCACAGCTAAGTTTTCCTCCTCATTCTCCTCCGCTTCCTCCTCATCACTGTGGTTCTTACTCAAAATCAATGTACTTTCTAAACTTTTGTTTTCTAATAAATCAATTAATTGCTGATCTGAAGACAGGTTTCTTTTGGAGTCACAGACACTAAGATTGCACATATCTACAAATCCACTTTCGTTCCCTGGATCCAAGGAAGGTGAGGCTAAGCATCTGGCTTCTAGCTGCCCGATGCTTTCTAGTCTCTGCCCTGCCTCACTGTAGCAGAGCTCCTCTTCCTTTGACACAGACATCAACAAATGTTTTCCACTTCTAATGTTCATTTGAGCTAAACCTGCTTCTAAGCTACCCATGAGAGAGGGGCCTGAAGCTATTTCTGCCTCATGGCCACCAGACTGGCAGTTCCCATCTGTGCTTGCTGAGGTGGCCACAGCTTCTTTTGTGGATTCTATGTTGGGACTTCGTCTTTCCTGAAAAGAGCCTGGCTCACGGCTAAGCACTTTCTTACCATACATCATGTTCTCCAAGGACTCAGACAACAGACTTTCATCATGGTTGATTGAAATGATATCTTGAACTTTAGAAATAAAGTTTTCACAAGTCATGCCAGGCAGACCAAGTGGATCATCTCTACTTTCTATTTTCACTAGATTCTCAGGTTCATTTTCAAGGGATTCTGAAGTCCTACTCATTTGAGTATATGTAAGAGAATCATATAGTTTGGAGTTGGTCTGGTAAAGGCAACAGAAACTTCCTGGTGCCTGGGTGTCAGTTCTTTTATGCTGGGCATAGTTTCTGTAGGCGTCCAGGAAGGACAGCTGGGGGTCGTTCATGATGTAACAGTCAGTGCGGTTCAGCCCGTGCTTGGCGGTGCCAATGAGCAGGTCTCGGTCGTGCTTCCCACATTCCCACCACACTGGGAGGTAGAGGCTGGGCCGGCAGAGCTGGAGGCGCTCATGCAGCTGAGGACACTTGAGCACCTGCTCTCGGACCTTCCGTAACAGTTCAATGCGGTACAGAGTTCTTGCAGCCCGTTCCTCAGTGATGGGTTCAATGTAGACGGTGGCATCTGGGGGACCTTGAAAGAAAGGGAAACACAGAACCTATCACTTAAGGAGGCCCTTGGACATTCCCTGCCCTGTGGGCCCCTTGCTAAAATGGGAAGGTCCTTGTGAAACAAGGACAGACCCAGCACGGGAGAAAGAATAGCATGAAAACCAGTTCTGTTAATAATATTAGTTTCCATTTAATAAGCATGTACTATGTACCTTCTAGACAAGGTACTTTATATGTTATTTAGTTCTCACAAAAATCTTATAGTATACCATCATTGTTCCTGTTTTTAAGGATGAGGAAATAGGCTCAGATAAGCTACCTTGCTCAAAGTGGTAGAACCAGGATTTAAATCCAGGTCTTGTCAGTGTGACTCCAAGCTCCAGATCTTTCCAAATGAAAACACTTCGTGCCACATGATAGGGAGATGCGATGTCTATGCATACTGTCATCAGCCCAGAACTCACACTGGGTAGGCTCATGGTCTGTTTGAGTTTTCCTAAAATACGGTCACATGGCCCAGAGCAAGTTTATCTACAAACATGAGGCTGAAGGTGGACCTGAAGGAAGCTGCTATTGCAAATTCCAACCAGGAAGAAATTTCTCAGAAGGGCTCTTCAATCAACCAGTGGATGTTCAGATGACACCCATTTACTTTTTACAGTTACAAGTCAACACACAAGAAAACATTTAAAGTTATTAAGATTTAATATAAGGACAGTGCAAAGTTCAGAGTAGGATAAATCTCAATGTGTCCTTTTAAAAAAAAATAAAACTATACCTTGGAAAAACTAATTAAGAGTAGGCTCTCAATATTTGTGAAGTTTTAATCTGAATTTCAGCTTTCAGTGGAGTTACATCATTTTGGGAGAGATATTTTATGAGGGTGGACCCAATTAGAAGTTCATGAATTTCTAAAAACCTACTTGTCTTTACCTGAATTCCTCAGATAGACTCCACTGTGACAGACATACCTAAAGCAATTCTGCAATGTGAAAATCAGCACATTCTTTCCTCATCTCATCTGAACACATACTGACAAAGAGTTTTCTCACCACCATCCTTCCATGCCGGCAGACGACAGACGTTCCGGCACATAGCCACAAAACTATAAAAATAGTGCTCCAGGCTCTCATCTGACTTCTTGTCCAAACGAGAAATGATGCGGAACTGTGTCCAGTCAAAGATTTTCTTTTCTTGATCATAAACGACACCAAAGGAAGACACTGTTCTATAGAAGTCTGCTTGTTCTCTCCTAGTCCACCTTGAGATTTAATCAGAAAAGAAGAGTGAGCCATTTTTCCTTCCTTTTAAAAAAAAAGCCAATAACTACTTATTGAACACCTACTTTAAGAGCCCATGAAAAACACCAAAGGAAGACACTGTTCTATAGAAGTCTGCTTGTTCTCTCCTAGTCCACCTTGAGATTTAATCAGAAAAGAAGAGTGAGCCGTTTTTTCTTCCTTTTAAAAAAAAAGCCAATAACTACTTATTGAACACCTACTTTAAGAGCCCATGAAATCGAGAAAGCAGGTTTGTCTATCTATTTCATTGTTTATTTTTAATCGAGAAAGCAGGTTTGTCTATCTATTTCATTGTTTATTTTTATTTAAGTTAAATTGTGTTGAGACTAATAATGAAAACAGCCTTTCATCCTACTCCCAAATCTTTCAGCTCTTTCTTTCGGTATTTACCTCCCTATTTCTAAATCACATGTGCATACTTGATTTCTCTTGATTCATCAATTTTAAGAATTACCTAGTTAACTTACACTTGTAGGAAATAAAGACTTTAAAAATACTATATATGCTTAAGTATCTTGCCTTAATTTTCCTGCCCCTATGACGACATAAAATCCTAGAGGGACCTTCCAGACCATTAAATTCTACCTCTTCATCTTACAGCCGAGGAACCTGTGCTGAGAAGGGAAGTGACCACTCTGGAGCCCACGTCTCCTGACTCCCCATCTCGTGCTGGCTTTCTTCCTGGTTTTACGTAGGTTGGTTGCCCATAGCAATGATCTTCTCTGGGACACAAAGGTCCTTTAGTTTTTACATCCTATCGGAGTGAGATAGTGACTTAGGGGAGCTAGGTAATTATATAACACCACAGACTTTGTGAGGGGCGCTTGGGCATGGTGCTCTCCACTCCACAGAGAGTCTACCTAGGAATTTGGGGTGGGGTGAGGGGTGAGTGGAAGAGCGAGAAGCAGGAAAGAAGGGGGTCTGGTTCTTTTCTTTGGTGCTGTGCAAAATGGGAGAAATATCTTCCCTGAATTATAAAATTTCATAAAGTCAGAAACAGTACAGAGAAGCAACTGAATTTGCTATGTGGTGTTTTTTTTAATTCACTGAATATTTCATCAGAAAGACAGAACCGCAGCTTTGTTGATATCCTCTGGTGGTATCATTCCTAGCCTGTGTTGGCCTTCTGTAGCCTTTTTTAGCTTAATTCTCAGATGGGCAAGTAATTCCTGGTTATTTATACCTTCCTTCTGGGCTTGTATTTTAAGGTATTTACTGCTGTCAATGACATGATACGGACCTATAGGTATAAGACAGCTTCAATGCACACTATTCCCTTTGTTGCTAAAAGGACTAGGACATCTGAAATGGTCTGATATATTCCAGTGTGGTGTTGTTAAACCACATCCCCTGACTCAGGGGTCTGACTTAGGGAAGAGCATCAGGTTGTAAACTCATAAACGTCTGGGAATTGTTGAATAGAGAATGCCTTAGGTCTCCTCAGACTCCTCTGTCACCATGACATCATCATCACGGTTGCAGGCTAGATTTGATAAAGTCTGGAGACAATTTAAGTTCACATGAGAACATAAATACACTTGCCCTCTAGCTATTAGCTTTACCTTCTGCCACCTTACCCAGGGATGCCCCTCTGGCCATTGGCTTTTACCTCTTTTGGGTTTCCTTGTTGATGAGGTCCATTTCTGAGGTTCTCCTGAACATCTCTTCCTGAACCCAGTATCCTTGGTTACCTGGTCCCAGAATTTCAGGTCGGCAGAGCTCCTTGCGGTTGCAGCGCTGGTAAACAGTGACCAGACGTCTGAGACGAGCTGTGAGAGCCGACGAAACTGGCCAAGGTGATCTGTCTGGGTCGGAGCCATCCTGGGCTTCAAACATCAGTGAGGATATTAGCATTTACAAACAGAACTAAAACAAGGGTGACACCTTTTTGGTTTTGTTTAAGTAAAAACAAAGCTGACTCAGTGACTTAAAGTAGTTACTATTTTACCAGTCAGCCAGGAGCAAGGCATTGCTGGAAGGGCTGACATTTTGCTTTAGAAACAGCTTTATGCCACGGTCAGCTCTGTTATCTCTCAAATAAAGATGTTCCTTTCTGTGGGGGCAGAACTGATTTGAGGACCCTACTCCAAAGCATAGGAATGAGCAGACCCTTTGTTACTTTCTCTGTATAGAACTGTGGGCTTTTGTGTAGCTGTTCCTTCCAACTGCCAAAGCCTCTGTTAAGTTTGAATTCAGAAAATAAAAAGACAAAAAATGTCAAACCAAACCCCAAACCCCTAACCTTTCTCAAAAAAAATAAAGAATAAAAAAATCAATAAAATCATAATTCCTTTTTACCTTTCAGATCCCATCCTAACTTAAGATATTATCATTTACTTCACTTTTGAATTTCACTGACAGGTAGAGGAAGCCAGAGCCATGTTAAAGCTCCATGGGATTCAAACATCAGTGGGAATATTAGTATTTACAAATAGAACTTAAACTAGGGTGACTGACTCCAGGAGAGTTTGATGGTCAACTTACTTGGTTTTTAAAAAGAGTCTCTTTAAAAAACTGCACTTTTATTACATACAGTCTCCAGGATAACTACAAACTGGGACCTTACTTTTTTGTGCCCTCAGAAGGACACAGTCTCACCTGCCCGGCTGTCATCCTTCTTTTCACCAAAAATGCCATCACCTCCATCACTGGAACTCTCCTAGGGATAAATGAAGCCAGCCCATCAGCAAAACTGCAGCTCAGAAGAAAACACTCAGAGATTTCTTCCTTCCCTAAGCACGCACAAGAGACATCCCCTGCCCATGAACCAAGATGGTACCTGAAAATAAAGTTTACTTATACACAGTCTTAAAAGAGCCAGAAAGGACTTTATTTAAAATGAGCGTTTTTTTCTCCTCTGGAACCATGTGGAATGATTCTGCCTGTAGGGAATCACCTTAAGGAATGATGAACTGACATACCCTCCCTGACAATTATATTTTACAAGTACTATTTTGGCTGTGAATTTAAATATTTGTTTTACCATCATCGCCTGCAATTTAATACTGTCATTTCACAAAGGCTATGCTTGCAATTCTGTCTTTTTTGTTTGTTTGTTCTGAAAAAGTGTCATGCTCATGTTCATTATGGTTAGCTTACTTCACAGCAACAGACACTATTTTCATAAAACATGACTGCTCCAGACATGAAACCTGATGGCACAAAATCCTAGGAATTTAAAATTAAAATCATGATTTGAGCTTCAAGTGAATCTGGAGTAATATCGCAGGCACAGCGCTTGTCCAAGTTGGTATATTTGTCAAACTGGCTCTAATGGATTCCTTTACAAACTCTATCTTGGTCTTAGAAATGGAAATTTAAAAGCTCCTTAAATATAATGCACATGGGATTTGGGGGTGGGAGGAGAGACTGTGCTATTTTTCAACTGGACTCCATTTTTAACACTAAACCTTGTTTTTTTCTGACTAGCATCTTTTGACCTGAACGATGGCACAGAACCACCTCAGAATTCAAGACTTTGCCACGTCGAAGCACAGGGTGAGAGAGAAAAAGGGTCAGCAAATTGTGGCCTACAAACTGTTTTTGTGTGGTGCTCAAGCTAGAAATAATTCTTATATTTTTAAAGAGTTAAAAAAAAAAAAGAATATGTGACAGAGACTGTATGTGCTCCAAGTCCAAGATACAGTATCTACTAGCTGGACCTTTACAGAAAATGTTTGGTGCCCCCTGCACTGGAACACAGGACAGGAGACCAGTAACTTAGATACAGTAGGAATGGGGAGACACCCACGACTGCCAAGAGTTAAAACTCAAAACACCCTCTTGAGCCCTGATACCAATGGAAGGACCAGGAAGACAAAACTCTGAGAAGGTAGAAAGGAACAGAAACCCATTTTCTGAGTGTATTTCTCTCTTATATAGAACAGTGGTAATAGCTAATATTGTAGAAAACTCTTTACATATCTTATCTCATTTAGTTTTCAGAACTGTCTCATGAGGTAGAAACTACAACTACTCTCATTTTACAGACGAAGAAAAAAGTCCTTTGAAATGTTTGGTAACTTGCCCAAGGTAACACAGCTTGCAAGTGGCAGATGTGAAAGTCAAACACAGGAATTCTCAATCAACAGCCAACACTTTCAACCAGCAAGCTATTTAAAAAAGGGCAACAAGAGAGTCACAGATGAGGAAGAAAAAAGTCCTTTGAAATGTTTGGTAACTTGCCCAAGGTAACACAGCTTGCAAGTGGCAGATGTGAAAGTCAAACACAGGAATTCTGAATCGACAGCCAACACTTTCAACCAGCAAGCTATTTAAAAAAGGGCAACAAGAGAGTCACAGATGAGAATTTGTTTTGGAGAGTGAAAATTTATTTAAAACTGAGAAACACTAGCTAATCTCCCTTCCCCAGGCCAAGAACTATCACCTACCATCTAATGTCAATGAAGAGTAGAAACCTTAGGCTGATTTACTGTACACTGTGAAGTCGCACTTAAAGATGCCACCTCTTCCTGTCCTATTTAGGTAGTTAAAAAAGAAAAAAACAACCTACTGTGCCTTATGTACCTTCCTGCCAGAGAACTTTTTAAAATATCCTCACAGTATCCATGAAGATCCTTCAAATGTTGAAATGTACAAGCATGAGAAATGTTTTACATCCTATAAAACATGGGTGGCAGACCTGGAGCTACCATGCTCCTTATTACTGGTACTGGTGGCTGATGTGGCCTTCATCACACCCCAAATCCATGGGTGCAGGCTCCCAGCCTGATGTGAGGTAGACACACAGCACATGCAGGTTTCCCTTCTCATCCATCTAGCAGTTTCTGTTGGTGCATAGTTAGTAAACATATATAGTGACTTATTCTGTATCCTGTCCTCTCTTGGAGGTACTTCCTCCTTCCAGAAATGACAGAATGAAGAAGATCTAGTTTGTCGGTAGCTTAAGTGAAAAAAGATGTCAGAATTTTAGTTAATAACCACTTAATGTGAATGTGTGATATGCTGCAGCCATTTGACAATCCTGGGTCTCAGGGAATTGCATCTGGGCACACAGGAAACCCTGCATCTGAACTGTGCAGTTTAATATTTAGTACCTCGAGTTCTGCTCATGTGAAGCAATCTGAAAGAAATGTTCATCTTAGAAGAGGTATGAATCAATCATTTCAGAAGGGTCCCAGAAAGTGACAACAAGAAGAACGTCAGCAAGGCAATTTCTCCACATGTGGTTTGGAGCCCCACAGTCCACAGCTCTCTGGCCTTGAGCAAGTTGTTTCCATTTCTCTTAAGCTCATTTCTTCTTTTGCAAAATGGAGATAATAATACCTACTTTATAAGGTGATTGTGGGGCACAGCAAGGAGACGTATGTAAACTGCTTAATCAAATGTTGTCACAAAGCAAAATACCCATCAAATGGTGGGTGGGACCAAGGAAATACCGACAGTCACAACTACTTGATAATCACTTAATATTTTTATCTTTCAACTAAAGTGTGTGCTCTAAGGAAGGCTTCATGATATAAAAAACAACAGCAGTAACAACAACAAGGGTCTATTGAGCCCCAGGTAAGTTGCCAGATACCATACTGAGTATTTATATGCATGTTTTAATTTATTCATTATAAAAATCCATTTTAGGAAGAAGGAAACTGGGGAATGGGAAGGTTGATAATGTTATCCAAGATTACACACAGTTTTTAGGTGGTAAAGGCAGAATTAGAAGGTCTGACTCCAAAGGATGAGCTCTCAACCATATACTGCCTCTGGTAGAAGGAACCAGCACTGGGCTGACCCAAAAGTGCCCTCAGTGACTAAAAGTAATTGAACTCCATGCATCTTCCCCACTGGGGTCATGGGGCTCTGCTTCCTTATCTGAAAATAGAAGGTCTAGTCTCCCTTGCTTGTGGCTGCCCCTCCAGGCCTGGCTGCCTCCCCTATTTGGTCTTGGCATGGGTGAGTTGGTGGCAGGAGAAGTGTGGACCAGCTGGAACCTGCAGACACAGGGGTTTCTTCTACACCCCAGAGCCAACACAATGGGTAATGAGCTGTCTTCTTACATTCAGCCAAATAATGAGTGTCTCTTAAGTGTCAGGAACTCTGCTAGGTTCTGGGGCTTCAAAAGTGAAAAATGATGGAATCCTTACCCTTCTGGAGCCCAGTCTGGTGGCTATGAGAGACACATAAACAAACAGTGGCCAAGTAGTGTTATAAGTGCTCTTAAATACAGCAGGAAAACAAGAAAAGAGTCACCAACTCTGCAAGACCCAAATCAGGTAGGGGGAAAGACATTCAAGAGGTGACTTTTGAGCTAGAGATCGAAGGATGCACAGGAGTTTGCCAGCAGGAGAACACAAGGGCTTTCTGTTTAGAGGTAACAAGATGTAAAAAGGCAGAGCTAAAAAGACCCTACTGTGGTTTTCATTTTGCAGGAAAATCAAGCATCCTACTCTTGCATAAACTTCATGTAGAAAGTAGATATACATCAAATGCCATTAACATAAAATTCAAAGATTTTGTTCTGGAAAGACCTAGGACTTAGAAAAAGATGTGAACAGGGGAGACACTGCTCTTGCATCCCTTGGCTGTTTGACTTTTTCACAGCTGATTAAAACTATTTGAGCTTCTTCCTCTATACAAAGGGGATAAGAATAATGCCTAACTAAAGGGATAATGTGCTTTGTAAGTGTGAAAATAATGCACATGCAAATATTACTATTTGAGTTCAGAGAACTCTTAAAACACTTAATTCACAAGAAAAAGTTATTTGTTCAGTTCCTAACTGAAGTTTTCTTACAAGAGGATTTGACCATTTTAGGCATTAAATTTCCCAGCAAGTTTTTCCTGATCTCACTTTGGCCATGACTTTATCCTTCTATCCACAGACCTTCTGATGCAGGGAGCAACTGAGACACAGCACATCTATCTGTAGTAGAACTGCAGCCCAGGACAGATGAGACATGCTTATCACAACATAACTGAATTAACAAAAGTTATGCCATTACCTAGCGCTTTCTGTTAAAAGAGATGTTACTCTCCCTACAAAATAGGTTTGACAGAGAAAGATTCTGTTGATAATTCTAAGCTCCAGACCATTCCAAACCCAAATAACCTTTAGACTAATTGCTTTAGGTCTCTGTAGGTTCATCGAATCCAGCTGCATCTGAAATCTGTAACTGTTTACCAACTGAAAATGCTACTGGTATTAAAACAGAGAGAGGATGGGAAAAGGAATAGACTAGGGCCGGCCCGGTGGCGCACTGGAGAGTGCGCTGCTTGGGAGTGTGGTGGCGCTCCCGCCGAGGGTTCGGATCCCATGTGGAGACCGGTTCCCGCTCACTGGCTGAGTGCGGTGCGGGCGCAACACCGAGGGTTGTGATCCCGTTGCCGGTCCCCGGTACGGGCGCGACACCGAGGGTTGCGATCCCGTTACCGGTCAGTAAAAAAGACAAAAAGAAAAAAAAATAAAAGGAATAGACTAGATCATCACAAATGTCCCTCCCAACTCTAACATTCTACGATTCTCTGAATGCCACATTTTAAGAGGACAAAAACTACAGTGTGCCCTGCAAGGTACCGGTGTAGCGAAGGGTCTGGAGATCATATGATAAGAAATATAGGAGAACTAGGGATATTTTACTTGAAGAGAAATCTAAAGAGATTAAGATAGCTAGCTGGCCCCAAGAATTTAAAATCCTATCA